TTTGTAGATGCTCCTTATCAAATTGAAGTAATTTATCTGAATTTCTAACTTGCTAAGAAATATTTTTATTGTGAATGTGAGCTGGATTTTGCTAAATGCTTTTCCTTTGTCAATTGATATGATATTTTTTCTTCTTTAGTTTGTTGATATGATGGATTATACTGATTAATTTTCTAATGTTGAAACCACCTTGTGTGCCAGGAATAAATCACACTTAGTCACGGTGTACACTTCTTTTCATAACTTTATTGGATTTTGTTTGCTTGTATGTTGAAGATTTTTGTCTAAGTTCATTAGAGGTAATGACCTGCAGCTTTTCTCTTTTCTTTTTTTTCTTTTTGGTACTGTCTTTGGTTTTAGTATAAAGGTAATGCAGGCCTCATAAAGTGAGTTAGGAGGTGTTTTCTCTTTCTAATCGATAAAAATTTGTCCTATTGACAAAAATTTAGAATAGATCAATTTCTGAAAGAGGCATTTCTGGAAGAGATTTTCTGGAAGAGATTGTCTTAAATTGGCGTTAATCCTTCTTTAAGTGCTTGGTATAATTCTCCAGTGGAACCATATGGGACTGGAGGTTTCTTTTCCAGGGGCTTTTAAACCAGGCATTAAAATATTTTAAAACCCTTTTGGCCTTGTGTGTATCCCACAAATTCCTGCCTATACTCAAAACTATCAGCACAATCCCCTGAGCCTGAAGCCAAGTTCAGTGAGCCTGGTTTCCACTCTGGAGCACCCAAGCATAGACACTTTGCTCCTTGCACACTTCCTGCATTCAGACCTGCCAGCTTTCTAGCCTTGTGTGCACAGGTGAGCTTCTTCCTGGAGCTCAAATTGAAATTTTTTTTAATAGTTCAGGGCTATTCAGATCATTTATTTCATGTTGACTGAATTTCAGTGCTTTATGGTTTTTGAGGAATTGGTCCATTTCTTCAAATTTATGAGTATAAAGTTATTTGCAACAGTGAATTAATTAATTTATTTATACAAGTGACATATTAGTTTTAAGTGTATAACATAATATGCCTAATTTATGCATAAATTGCAAAATAATCACCACAGTAAGTCAACATCGATCACCACACATAATTACAAAAACATTTTTTTTTTGTGATGAGAACTTTTAAAATCTACTCTCTTAGCAACTTTATAGGGGACCTTTACAATTTAATAAATTCCCTTAAACATTACATACTGTGTTTATAAATTCAATACATTGAATTTTCTTTCTTAAGAATGTCAATTATCTGATTTTAAATTAATGATTCTTAAATTCCATTATATGTTTCAACAGTGTAATTTGGTAAGATTTCACAAACTTAATTATTCAATTACACATTTTTAAATTGGTAACACAAGGTTAATCTGTAAGATTTTTTTTTTTTAAAAACATAGCAGGTACTTAAAAATAGTAACTATACATAGAGTCTTTAATAAATACTATGTGTTTGATTCCTTTAACACCTTTACTTGATCCTAAATCTCCTGGGAATTAAACATACTAGTTATGCTAAAGAAACAATTGTGACATCTCAAACATTTTGAGGTTTTCCTTTCCAAGAGAATTTTGGAAAGATCACTTTCTCAGCTGGCTGAAGTTGCTGAGAGAATATAGATTCTGGTTGGGTGTGAGGCCTGGAGCTGCAGGATATGCAGGGGAATTCTGCCCACCACTCCAATGTCCAAGCCAGGTCCCTTTTTAGGTCACTGTGTCAAGAAGTCCAGAAGTTGAAGAAGGAGGTGGTCATGTAGCTCATGAGTCAATTCATTCTATCTAAGCCTTTCCTATCCACCTTACCTTAGGATCACAGTTCTTTCAGGTAAGAAAGTTGTAGACACAACTTACACGTTCCTTCTACTAAAAAGCTACCAAAGATAATTTCCAGAATTGAGAGGGAGCTAAGACTAAATAATCCTTTTGTCTTCCAATTGCATGATTCATGGTTTGAGTCAACCAGAGGAGGTATGACTTCTGAAAGCCACAAGAGAAATGGCATCAATGACTGAGAAGGGACCCAATGTGAACATCTGGACTTTGAAATGAGGAGCAGTGTTGCAAGTAGAGACATACTGAAATAATGGAGGGTTGGGGTAAATGTCATCATGTGGAAGTCTTCCGGATTGAGTGACACAAAGAAGAGCTCTGGGAGAGGAAGTGAGAATGAGGAGACCATACACAGTCAGGGTTTGAGAAATAAAAAGGAAGAGATACCTGTTGGGAATACTGTCACGCTAGTGGGCACAGTTGCAGAAGGCAGTTTAGCTCTCTGCATGAAAAACCCTGACGCTAATCAGCACCCCCAAATTAATTGTGACCCTTCTTTGGTGCTCATTCTGCTTTAAGGCAGTATTTTAAAAAATAATATAGAATGTGGGTCAAAACTAATATGGAAAATATCTTAATATTTATCATAGCAAAATATTAGGAAAAATTAAATGCCCGACAGTAGGGGAGATTTTTGTTCATCCCCTGAATATTGAACTGAATATTATATAGCCATTCAAATTATATCCTCAAAAAGTATATTTTCAAAAATTAATGAAATTGGAAAGTACATGAGATATTAAATCATAAAAAGCAGGATATACAAACTTATATATACAATGTTATTCTATTACGAGTACTTCTAATTTTTGAAATATGCTCTCCAAATTAAAAGTAAGAGCACATATTCCTTCTGTGAAAGTGGAAAATAAACAAAACCAAAAATTCCTTAAAAACTGTCAGCCAACACCCCCCAAATAAAAACCAAACCAAAAATGTATAAGATCCAGATGAACACAGTGGAAAGGAGAACCAGAGAAGAAGTCTGAAGAAGGTGCAAAGAATACTTCCAAAGGACATGTCACAGGGAAGTGGAGAGAAAATAGAAAAAAATAAAAAAAGGGGTCACTGGCTTTATCTAAAAAATCACAATAAATTAGAACAGCCAAGATTTATTGAGTACATATAATGTACAGGCACGATCTAATTTAATCCTTACATAAATCTTACAAGAGAAATATTATCATTAACTCTACTTTACTTATGAAGTTACTAAACCACAGAGAGTCAAATAATATAACCAAGGTCACACAGCAGATTAAATGTCCAGATTCAAACACAGAATCTTATCCACTGTTGTTATCGCCTCGTTGCTTGGGAAGTTTGATTCTGAAAGGGAGGAAAGCACTGAATTTTGGTTAAAAAGGATGGTAGAGTTAAAGATTCTTTTCCCCCTCTACTATCGGGACATTTGGGTATATTTAAAGTCAGTAGAAAAAGAATCTGCCCAGAGGGAGAAATGAAAGAGCCGTGTTCAACAGGAAGAGTGTTTCTCTGGCATCCACATCAGAGCACAGGGGCTGCTAGCAGTAGAGACAGAGGCAGGGCAGCTCCTTTGAGACCACCCACAAGCAGTGTCCTGCGGGTCCTTCATGGCACTCGGGGAGGGGCTAGACTGGCTGGCAGTGTGATCTTCTCAACAAAGTGAAAAAATTAGCGTAAGTGAGCATCAAGCACCAAGCACCAAGTGGGCACCAGGGTTAAAGAGTGCTGAAGAGGTCTGGAAGAGTAACCCTAAGGAGTAAGCCAAGTTTTAAGCCAGACTGCTGTAGGCACATTTGTGGTCAGGCCTGCTTGGTTGGTGGACCCTCTCCAGGAGCACCGTGTGGGCTGCAAACAGGGCCCACAGAAAGGAGCAGTGGAGGTGACGGGAAGATTTCTAGAACCAGGGGTGCCTGCATGACTGCCGGTGTACCTGGGGAGGTACACCGGGGAGGTGTACCTCAGAGAAGTCCAGTGTGGGCAGGGCAGGCAAGTTTAGGGGAGCAGGGTTGGCGGTGGGGGGTTGCATTTTGTGCTGGAAAGAGATCAGAGGAAGCAAGGTTTGGACATACTGCTGCAGCCCTGCTCAGTGTTGAAATGTTTGGTGGTAGGTTCCAAAGTGGGACGGTGGGATCAGGGTCTCTCACCAGACATTCAAATGGAGGCTGTTAACTCAGGAGGACCGCGAAGGGCAGGGTGGATAAGGCAAAAACAACTTCACCGAGGCACCGAAATAGATTCTGTGAGTGATCCCTGCAAAGAGGTAGAGAGGGGTGTAGGAAATGGGAGGGCTAGGAGAAGAAGACAGGACCAGGGCAGATGGCACAATGACAGCAGCTGAGCCATAGATACGAGGAAGGTGCTCGGGGGGCTGGAGGTGGCACAGAGGAACAAAAAGAAGGATAACCCTTCCTCCCCTTCCCCCATTAGAATGGGAAGAGGCAGAGATGTACTAATTTACTGCACATCTTTCAGGTCAGGCACAAGATGCTCAATAAATATTAAGCAACTAATTTAATTCAATTATATTAATTTTAACCCTAATATTAACTATAAGCCCATTTCACAGATGAGGAAATTGAGACTTAGGCTAGGTAATTTGCCAGAGCCCTCTGCTGTATGTGGTGGAGTAGGGATTTAGCCCAGACTCTTTGGCTCCTAAGCCCATAACATTCCCAGTAATAAACTTTGATGAAGCCCCCAGGGCAGAACAGGTAGGAACTGCCCCCCCCCCCACATCCCCCACAGTGGTAGAGAAAACAGGCTGAGATGCCTGAATGTAGCTTCTGCTCCTTTGGCCACCAAGCTTCACTGAAGAGGGAGGGAGAATCCTGATGGGTTTCATGGGCTTATGGGTGAAGATGTGGGAAGGAAGGCCAGGTAGAGAAGGACCATGGCTCTCCATGTGTCGTGTCTAGACAGTCACACTGCCCTGATGCTTCAACCTCATGAGAGGTGGATGATAACAGAAACCCAGCACAGCCTTGCTTCCTCCTACATCTGTGCTTAGTCTGCCATGGTACTAGTAGAGAAAGCCCTGGGTGGTCTAACTCTGCCCTTTGCTTCATTTCCACTCTGGATGACTGGCAGAAGATTGAGGGACCCTTCAAGCATGTGGCTGAGCACAGCAGGAAGCGCAGAAGCAGGGGAGATGAGGGCATTTTGATACCTTGACTCTGTCTCTTCTCCTATCCAGGGAAAAGCTGTCATGAACAGAGCCACCAAGCGATGTCAGGAGATGAAGAAAGACACTTCGGGCATCTATGAGCCTGTGCTCCAGACCTGCACCACACAAGCGTGGACGATACAGTATACTGTGCAAAACTGGGGGTCAAACTAGCTTCCAGTGATCCTCAGAGAGCCTGGATTTGGGATACCAGTTCTTGCCACTGGAATGGCTTCTATTCCTAATGCTGCTCAAATAGGGAGAGGGTGAGAATAGGAAAGTATGTGTGTATGTTTACTGTGACTTCGGCCTGCAACACACAAGCTCGGGGGGATGAAGTGGTGTATGCATGTGTCAGGATGTCCAGGCTGCAGACAGGTGAGGAAACTCCCCCAGCTTCCCTTGGAAAGTCATGATATATATCAAATGCCATTATTGGAAACTCCTTGAAATAAGCACCATCATCTGGCTGCTATGTGGGGACAGAACTAGGAGGGTGGCAGTCTATCATTGACTTCTGCCAACACTGTTTAGTCTTCATGCCTGACAACTACTGTTGCCATCTGCCCCACACATCCTCCCCCAGCCCATCTGCTCAGAGACTTCCCAGACAGCCTGGGGGCTGCTCCATGGGAGAGGCTGGGTCATCATCGGGCTGACAGCATGACGATGATTCAGGTGGCACCAGTTCTCTGAAGGTGTGTTGCCCCTGCTGCTCCCCTTTTCTGAACTGTCCTGAGAGATGCAGCAAATAGACAAGTCATCTTTAAAAATTCCTCTGTCATCACTCCAGAGCAGTTTTATTTGGATTACCCAATCTCCTCCCATACCAAAGAGATTCCAGAGGCTGAGAGGGTAGGAGAGAACGTGTCTCCACTAATCCCAACTCTGCACAGTGCATAGAGAATGGTAGAAAAGTCCAAGTCCATCTGAGTCTTTAAGTAGCTTCTAACACTTAATAGACTTGATTACCTCTTCCCTTCTATTCTCCCTGAAAATTACGGAGAAATTGAGGCTTGAAACAGAGGGGCATCACTTATTGGGACACAAAGAAAGACTTGTAGGCACAGACTTAAAACCAAAGGCACTTACTGCTGTCTGCTGGATAAATCCTTTCCCCTAGTTGGTAAATTGGGAAGATATGTCTAGGGATGCCAATTTTGGCAAGGTCCTGGTGGTTGGTGGGAGTGGGCATCATGATAGGAGAGGAGGTAGGATGTTATATGTGTATGTTGTTTTGTGGGCTCACCTTTCAAGGATGTGCAAACCGGTCCCTTCCTTAAGAGCGTCACCTTTTCCTTTTAGTTTTATGTCAGTGCTACTTGGGTATGATTCTGGGAATAATTAGGCTTCCTTTAGGCATTAGGCAGACAAGACACTGATAATTTAGTACAGAATTAAATCAGCTGATTTTTTTTAAAGTAAGCTTTTAGAAGTGCATAAGTCATAAGTGTACAGCTTGATAAAACTTTCACAGTGACTGAATCCATATCCAAGAACTAAAACATTAATGTAGGTAGGATCTTATGAAAAAATTAAGGAACAGGATAAATGTTAAGCAAATGTATACCTTGTAGTTTCTTCATAGCAAATTGAAGGGAAAATGCATTTCATAGCAAAGGTTTTTTTTTTAAAGCTTGTACCCATTAGAAAGATGGGTAAAAAATGGGTAATATCCTTAAACATACAAAAAGATGTTTAATCTCACTCAGAGAAATGCAAATTAAAGTGGTACTGAGATAATTTTTCACTTAAATAGGTGAAAATTAAAGAGTATGATAGCACATTCTGTTAGCAAGGTTGTGGGAAATAGGTAGTCTCATATTTTGGTGATAGGGATGCAAATTGGTACAACCATTTTGGAGGGATATTTGGCAGTATTTAAATATACTGTAGGGGCACCTGGGTGGCCCATTTGGCTAAGTGTCTGAGTCTTGATTTGGGCTCAGGTCATGATCTCAGGGTCCTCTCTCAACAGGGAATCTCCTTGAGATTCTCTTCCTCTCCTTCTGCCCCTGCCCCCCACTCATGCACATGTGTGTGTTCGCTCTCTCAAATAAATAAATAAATCCTAAAAAATACTATACGCGCACTTTCCTTTTTGTGCAACTCTACCTTGAGAAACTCACACCTCCAAAACATAAGAAAATACTTATGTGTAAATGAACTATTTGCAGTATTGAATTTAATTATAAAATGTTGGAAATGAACTATAATGTTCAAACATCAGCAAGTGGTTGAATATATCCATACAACAGAGTACTATGCAGCTATGGAAAAGAACTAGGAACATCTCTTTGAACTGATATGTAATGTGTTCCAGTGTGAAAAAAAAAGAAAATCATATTTATAGTTTGTACTTTTTAGGTAAGAGATAAGGGGGAAATATACATGTATCTATTCATTTCTGCAAAATGAAACATAAGGATAAACCAGAAACTAATGAGATTGGTTACTTGTGGCTGGTATTGGTTGGAAATAGGATGGAAAGGATTGAGGATAGAAACAAGATAGAAGGGATGTGGGGAGAGTGACATTTCTCAAAATATATATTTTTCTGTAATTTAGACTTTTAGAATCATGTTATGTTTCATATGTTCAAAACATAAATACACAAACCCAACAAGGATAAAGGGAAACCCAAAATGGAGTGCAAACAAAAACCAAGTGAACCTATCTATGTTTCTGTGTTTAACACACTTATTCTGAGCACACTCAGCATCTAGCACGCAGATCTGGGTTTCTAAATATTTTCCAGTAAAAGGAATTAGGGCTCCTTGGAGAAATAGCTGATTTTAGGGTTGGGCCTTAGACATTTTCCTGTGCGAGAAAATAAGGAAATGCTCCAAGAGTGATGGGGACATGTCACAACCTGTAGCAGCCAGATCCAAGGGGTTCTCCCTGGCCAAAACTAGGACAATTTGGGCATTAAAATAAATAATGCTTTTATTATGTGGATTAAAAGCCATAGAATAAAATAAGAATCCATGAGTTCATACCAATGAAGGAATGGATGGATAGATGGATGAATGCATGCATGGGGAGAAGGGAAAGCTCTTCCTTAATGTAGACTGCAGATTAAAAAATGTAGGAAGAAATCTGGAATTAGAGAGTTGACAACCCATAGTTAAAATTGTTTCAGGCAAGGATCTTAAATGGATGTTAAAATTAATGGGTGATGAGAAACAGAATACATACATAGTATCAAAGTAACACTTCAGAAGATATTTGTTAACTACAAAGGGAAAGCTGTAATTTCATGGTGGAGAAATCTGACAGACACCATCTTAACTGAGTGGTCAATGTTAATATTGCCAGTTACAGGACAAATGGATATCACATGATTTCTGATAAGATGCACCCAGAAAACACATCATTTCCAATGGTGTTCTTGCCCCCAACACAGGACCTGAATCTATAATTTTTAGGAAACAATTAAACCCAAATCAAGGAATATCCTTCAAAATAAATGGTCTGTCTGCTTCAAAATGTCAAAGTCATAAAAGACAAAGAAAGACTGAAGAACCTCCCCATACTAAAGGAGACAAAGAGTCTCGACAGCTAAATGTGATGTGTGGTCCTGGACGGGAATCTGGACCTGAGGGGAAATTAGTTTTCCTTTGTTATAAAGAACAGCAGTAGACAACTGATGAAATTTAAGTAAGGTTTGTTGATCAGATAATAGTACTGTATCAATGTTATTTTCCTGATTTTGATCACTGTATTCTGCTTGTGTAAGAATATAAGAGAATGTCCTTGATTTTACAAAATACTGTATGGATGGATTGGGGGAGGGGCATTATCTTTGAGATTATATCTATTATACTATATATAACCTTAGCAAAGAGACCTAGGCAAAAAGTGAACTTTATGACAAGTTAAGAAATGGGTATCGTTTATTTTCCTTCTTTCTCTAACAAGTCATGATGCCTAGATCAGGACTTGTCTTTTCCAAGCACCTTGTCAATCTCCTTCCATTTGTAAAAATTTTTTATTGTTATGTTAATCACCATACATTACATCCTTAGTTTTTGATGTAGTGTTCCATGATTCACTGTTCGCTTATAACACCCAGTGCTCCACGCAGAACGTGCCCTCCTCAATACCCATCACCAGGCTAACCCATCCCCCCACCCTCCTCCCCTCTAGAACCCTCAGTTTGTTTTTCAGAGTCCATCGTCTCTCATGGTTCGTCTCCATTTTTAAAGGTTCGTCATTAGCTACTAAATGAGGCTGGTGGTTTCTGCTTCCAGTACATTTCCTAGCTGAGGCAAAATTGAAGAAAATGGGCTGTGCTGTCTATTTTTACAGGTGCTTTGTCTTGGGGCTAGTAGCAGCCCCCAAGTCCTAGTTAGTCTCCCCTCACCAAGCTCCCTATGTCCCCTTCCAGAGAGCTTGTTGGTAGGCCTTCCCACTGGGCCTACAGCACATCTCGATTAGTGTTCCACATGAGAATTCCTTCCCAGCAGTGCTTGGGAAAGTTCTACATTTTTTTGAATTTCAAGTTTCAAGAAAAATCGGTTGAAAATTAGGAAGACAAGAAAGAGTTCTATAATTCTCTTGCAAGAATTAAAGCTCTGTAAGTAACATAGAGGTGTTACTGGTTTGAAGGAACCCACTGACATCCAATGGAATGCAGGAACAGGAAACACTGAGACACAGAGTCCAAGGTTAAGGGTATATTTTCGGAAACCAGAACAGGAGTGTGCAGAAAAAAAGATGGCCACAGTCTAATCAGTCGGTCATGCATATAGCAATAGCCATGCTGTAAGTGTGTGTGTGTTGACCTATTTGCCTCTACTGGTGAGGAATTCTTGCAAATAAAAATACATATTAAGATTTTATGCATAGCGTACTTCATACAAATCTTATGAAATTCCAAGGAATAACAAGTTTGGGGAGCAAAATATGTTCTTAAATTGGCAATTTCAACATATGATTCTGACAAGCGCTGTTAACCCAGTTAACCTCTCATCAGGAGATCCAAATGTTACATTATTTGAATACTACAAATTTCATGGAATGGTGGCTGGTGTTTTCTAGGGTTTGAATATTTGCTATAGACTATCATTTTTGTAAATATTACTAAGCTTAATACCTCTAATTTACTAAACAACTTTTAGAAATCCATAATAGCAAGTAAAGAGTATATCTGATTTTAGAAATACTAAAGA